GAAGGGTTCGGGCTCTATGTTATCAGGGTCCCCTACATTAGGGAACTCACATCTGGCTTCAGTCTGATGTTGCAGAAGACATGACGGACACGCTGGCTTCAACTTCCTTGCAGCTGCAAGCGCACTTAGGTTGTGACCTGGAGATGGGCCTCCATCTCGTGCTTTCGGCTCCCCGAATTGATTCAGTCCCAAGGCTTTCCCCCTGCAGCCTATTGCAACTCAAGCCGTGCCCCGATGCTACACAATCCTGACTTGTTTCCATGCGAACTGATAGGACTAGCAGTGTAGAGGCTTGACTACTTGACATCCAGGGAAACAGTGCATCTCCGGGCTCAGAACAGAATCCTGAACAGGGCTTAGGGTTGTATTAGGGCTTATAGGTAAAGCTGCGCTGCTTTGAACCCCTGGGCCTTCCAGATTCCAGGCTCACTGTTTACTGGCGTCAATGGCCGAAGAGCCCCAACCCTGAACCCTTGACTCTCGAAGGTAAACATACAGTTAGTGTTAGTATAGTTGCGGTTCTCGAATCCGACGAACCCAGCCCTGGATGCGCAACCTCAGATCCAGAAAGCCTTTCCTTTTGCCGGGCCAAGCTGCGGCGAGGTCGAAGGGCGCTGTGTGCTTGGCCACGCCATAGTTGGGATAGTTGCCACGGCCAGAGGACCTGAGGGCGCTAAGATACTTCCTGTCAAAAACGCATATGGCAGTGTAAGCTGCGCTACTAGCATTGTGGTAGTGAGGTGGGCTTACTTCATGATGCCTACTACTGCCACAGCTGTTGCTGCTACTACTACTACTACTACTACGACGACGACGACGACTACTACCACTGCGCGTCTACTACTACACCACCACCACAACCACTGGACCACCACCACGACGACGACTTCTTCTTCTACTGCTGGTGCTGCTGCTGCTGCTGGTGCTGCTGCTGCTGCTAGTTACTACTCCTCTTCCTCCTACTGCTATCACTGCTTTGTCTGCTACGAGAACGACAATGACTACCACCAGTGCGACTTCGACTACTACCATGAGACCAGATTCTTTTTGAGCATTGAGACTCACACACAAGTGTGAGGCCGATTTGTGAGCAAATGTTCCCAAGCCCTCCATACGTGCTGCAGATGAGGCACCAATGGTACTCAAGCGCCTCCTTCTTCGCCGTAGCGTTTCCCCTTGCGAGTGCCTTGGACATAAATATGCTCGATCGTAATGCCCAGTTTTTTGGAGAAGCAACCTTCTGCTAAGTGATGTGCAAGGTAGCCTAATTGTCCTGGACACGAGCTATAGTGCTCCCTCAACGAGCACGATCCGTCCCAGCAGAAACGCCTCATGACTTCTAAGTCCGATTCTGAAAAAAAAGCTTCACCTCCTCACTACAGACTCCTTAAATTCTGCTTTTAACTTTTAGATATCTTTTCCTTCTCTTTTCCTTCTATGATGATGACGATGATGATGATGATTATTATTATTGTATAGAGCCCTGTGCTGTCTCTGTGCCTTGGCTTGGATGAAGGACAAGCCGGGCCCTTCCGTCTCCTTGCAGTCTGCCTGAAGTTCAGGGAGCATCCCAGACAGAAGCACTGAGATTCTTAGGGTTTAGGGTTTAGGGATTCTTAGGGTTTAGGGTTTAGAGCTTAGAGCCGCCAGTCGCAATTGAGGGTGCCCTCCCCTCCCCTCATTGTCTGAGATAGGGGCTTCTGAATACTTGTATAATAAACCCTAAACCCTAAACTATAAGGCGCTAAACCTTGAAGCCTAAACCCATAAGAGGCTGAACTCTAACCCTATACCCTAAACCCATAAGGGCCTAAACCCTAAACCCTAAACTTATGAATTCCATCAGGGGTATAGGTCAAGGTCCCCAGAATGCATCTGCCCCCCCTTCCAAAATGAATCTGAAAACCAATCTGGCCAAGAAGCCTGAGAGAGTGGAATGTTTGTTTTCATCCAGTCGGCAAGGCTAAGGTGACTGAGACAACAGGTTGTGCCGCCACTGGAAGCGCAAGCCAGTTACTGTGATATAAAGACGCGGGCCTAATAGTTGGGCAATCTTTCAAACGTTGGAGTTTAGGGTTTTTAAGGCTTGCCAAACTGTTGGCAGCATTTCAGGCATGCCAGATTCGATTTCGGGTTCGTGGATTTCGTCATTTCGGATTGGATTGCCAGCCAGATTGGTTTCCAGATTGGTTTTTGGATTGGATTTGCCAGCCAGATTGGTTTCCAGACTCATTTTTGGATTGGATTTTCCGGCCAGACTGATTTCCAGATTGGTTTTCAGATTGGATTTTGGGGCAGATTGGTTTCCAGATTCATTTTCAGATTCATTTTCAGATGCATTTTCCCTAGGGAAAATGCATCTGAAAATGAATCTGGAAACCAATCTGCCCCAAAATCCAATCTGAAAACCAATCTGGAAATCAGTCTGGCGCCCGGCCCCTGTTCAACCGCCCCCAGCCTCGTCCCAGCCCAGCCGCCCGGCCTCTACCGGGCCTACCCCGTCCTGCCCAGTCTGCCCCCACTGTGGCCTCGTTTTAAAGTGGTGCCCTAGGCCCTGGCCCTAGACCCCTAGACCCCTAGACCCCTAGACCCTAGACTCTAGACACTCCTTGGCAAAGCGTTGAATACTGCTCCCTCAAAACGAGGGCGCTGCCTGAGCGCGGTCGGTGTTGTGACCAAGCAACCCACCAAAGCCCCCTTCTCCCACGAAGCCACCCACATTTGTCCGAGATGGTTGCAAGTCACTGCATATTTGGTTGGGGCTCTTCCTGCCTTGCTTCGTTCGCACCGCTGCTACTGCTATACTGCATCACCGCTTCAGACAAAGTCGGGACAAGCAGGTCCAGCAGGGTTTCTAATCTAAGACCATTAGATGTCTTGTGGTACATGTCATGACTTTAGTTTGGTTACACGTGGGTCCAGAAGTTCATCTACCCAGCACCTGGTTGCAGACTGGTTTCGGGATGCATTTCAAGATCCATTTTGGATGCATTTCTGTTCCTGCTGTCTATACCCTAATGGATTTCATAACCCTAAACCCACAAGGGGCTAAACCCTAAACCCCTAAACTATAAGGGGCTAACCCCTAAACCCTAAACCCATAAAGAGCTAAACCATGCTAAGCCCTAAACTATAAAGGGGTAACCCCTAAACCCTAAACCCTAAACCGGCTAAACCCTAAACCCCTAAACTATAAGGGGCTAACCCCTAAACCCTAAACCCATAAGGGGCTAAACCATGCTAAGCCCTAAACTATAAAAGGGTAACCCCTAAACCCTAAACCCTAAACCCACAAGGGGCTAAACCCTAAACCCCTAAACTATAAGGGGCTAACCCCTAAACCCTAAACCCATAAGGGGCTAAACCATGCTAAGCCCTAAACTATAAAGGGGTAACCCCTAAACCCTAAACCCTAAACCCACAAGGGGCTAAACCCTAAACCCCTAAACTATAAGGGGCTAACCCCTAAACCCTAAACCCATAAGGGGCTGAATCCCGAATGTGCCTCGACGGGTTCGCTCCGGCTGCCAAGCAGGACACCCGCTGTGACGATGGCACCAAAGATGCGAGCCATGCGTTCAAAAACCTTGAGAGGTTTAGGGTCTGGGGTCCAGGGATATATACATATATAAATAAATAAATATATATATAGTTTTTCTGTTTGGCTTAGGGTTCAGGAGTGTACGCGTTTATGGCTTTAGGCTGTAGGGTCATAATTACATGGTTTGGAGCTGTACGGTTGTAGTTATATACTTCTTCCCGCCCGTGAAGCTGATATGGTTTAGGGTGTAGGTCAAAGTTATATGATTTCGACTTTCGCACTCGCAGAAGGCAGCAAGGCTCCACATAATCCGCTCACGCAAAGCAGTCTGCCCTGGTGACACCCGGCACTATCACTATACCCGAATGTCCCAAGACTTAGTCATAGTCAGTCTCCGCGAACGGACACGTGAAACATCGTGAAACACACTGGAGTCATCGTGAAATCGAGGTTTGCCATGAAAAGTTGTCACCAACGTCACGGAACCCTCTCCTGTCGTCCATCCCCACTCAGAACACGCTGAAGATCGCATGCCATGTGCATGCACGTGCATACCAGCCGCCGAGCATGCACATAATTCTCATGCCCTTCCATCGTCGTAATCACCCGAACGTGCTTCGACTTTCGGGCTTTCGGGTCTACCTTATTACACCTGGTCTATGCATAATGCCAACCCCAAAAGCCTAAGCCTAAGTGCTAAGCCGTTCGCCTCCAAGGGCTCGAGGAGACGATCTCCAACCCCTGACTTCCCCATTCTGAAGTCAACTAAGTTTCGGCGCTCACACTCGGACAACTAAGCTTCAGCACTCACAACTAAGTTTAGGGTTTAGGGTTTAGGGTTTAGGGCCCACTTTCGTGCTTGAGCGTCCGAAGTCACGAAACCTCCACACTGTCTTTCACCATACAAAGAATCCTGATCCCCGAACCCTGATCACAGCAAGCCGGTGGCCTTTCCAGTTTTGATACGTACGAAGAGAGAAGCTGAGGGACTTCAGCCAAAACTGCTGCGGGAACAAGAATGGGCAGCTTCCTGCGGTTTCGCGAGTCTCTAAACATGATAGTATGCGATAGTCTAGTATAGTATATTAGAGGGTATCATGGTAGATTGTAACCTCTTATCGTACGCTGTCATGCGTTGTAGTATTTCAGAGTACACTGTAGTGAGTCATTTTCCCCTGGTCGCAGCTTTGCGAATCTTTCTCATTTCTCTCAGGACTTCGGAGCTGTGGCTCAGGGCGATGAGATTGTGGGCTGCAGGCTCACCGCGGATCAAAACCCTGTAGTCCAAATCCTAGATCTTTAACCCTATACCCTTATAGTCCTATGCCCCAAACTGTTTATCCTACAGTCCTACATCCTAACCCCGGGATCCTACATCCGAAACCCGGAACCGCTGAAACCTAAACTTTCCTAAGCCCGAGCCTCCGAGCGCAGAGAACCGAGGCTTCAAGGCCCGGGCTGCTCGAGGTCATCGTCGAAGGTGGGGTCTGCTCTTTGCACCACCTGAGCTCAGGTTACGGTACGTAGCGGCCTTCGTGGATACAGCACCGAATTCTACGAGCGTATGAAAAGAAATAAGACATAAATAAGCAAGTATAAGCAAAGACACACACACACATACATACATATAAATAAATAAAGGTATATATAGATATGTAACTATGTGTATTATGTGCTTGTTTATACACATAGAACATAAGCAAGCATCTGTATATATATATATACACATACATATGTAGCGCACAACACATATACACATACATACCTCTTCTACAGGGACACAAACGAAAAGGATATCGTTTCGAAATCTGAAAACCTTTCTACTTCTCTCTGTCTCGGTTGGTTCTTGGGGCTCTTGGGTTTCAACGGTTTCCTGGCAGGCAGAGTCTTGTGGTGATGATGACGACGACCAGGGAGAACCTAGAACTCACGTGGTGTCACGTGGTGTGACCCTCGTGTTTTTGCAAGCTCGTTTATATGACTTGGTGCTTTACAGCGTCGCAGTCGTTGCTGCTGGCATGTCTGAGGTGTTGATGCTGCTGTCGCTGCTGTTGAAGTCGTCGCGCACATCTGTTTCCCAAATGAAGGCCTCCCTTCGCCCAAGGAGCCAAACTTCCAAGAGCCACGAAGAGAAGGATAAATGAAATGCAACGCACATGTCACCCATGATCCCAATGCAAGCCGCTAGCCCATCGAGCAGCTTTGCTGCTTCGGTGTTGAATTTCGGCCTTCCAGCCCAAATAGATGGTGCGGAACCTGTATTTCCTTCAGCTGGATGTTCGGTCACAGAAAGTCCTGAAAGCCGACCACTCTGACAATACCCGATTCTCATGCGAGCCCGAGCGGAGAAGTGATGATAGTTGATATGATACAAAATAAAGCCCGAAATCGAAGAAGCAATTGACATCGCCCGTGCCTTCAGCTCTGTCAAGGCTTCCGCGTATCTGCCGCACCTTGTATCGCAGACTCGGACAACATTCGACAAACGCACGACACAATGACATAATGGTGCTGCAACATCCTTGCATCCGAGGTGCTCCAGTAACAGTATGCCGCGACGGTACAGAGCCTCTCGGAGAAACTCAAAAAGACCGGTCAAGATTCCAGGACCAGTGAGGGGGTCTGGAGGCTTTGAATTACGCCATGATGCTAGTCACACTGGTGCAAATGGAATTGGCGCGCGTGTGTGTGTGTGTGTGTGTGTGCTCGAACGTATGATCCGATATCCAGCATCATGCAGCCCTCGGCAAGGGCTTCGTGCGACGATCTGGAAGGCTTGCCGGCATCATGGCACAAGAAACCCGTACTCACACAGTGAGCCTTCGTCCACTTTGGGTGGAGTGCTAGGCACATATTCCTGTCGCGAGCTTGGAATCTTCCTGTCTGCAGCTTCTCTATTCAAGGAAGCGAAGGCGGATCACCCCGGTCTTTTAAAGTCCGCTCGCTGCAAAGCATGTATTGCTGTACTAGCTGCTGTGCCGCGGCATGCGCTAAACAAGTCGATGCTACTACGTTACCCTTGCTGTACTATGCTGTTCGTACTGCTAGCATACCGCTTTTATATATGCATAACTACATACATACATACATACATACATACATACATACATACATACATACATACATACATACATACACACATACATACACACATACATACCCACCTACCCACCTACCTACCCACCTACCTACCTACCCACCTACCTACCCACCTACCTACCTACCTACCTACCTACCTACCTACGTACATACATACATACATACATAACATTTTTGGCTCCCGCTTGGCATCATCATCACTGACAAAGGTTTTTTATGTGTATACACGTACATGACTATGTATACATATTGTAAACCCACCCGCCTACCATCCTCCAGCCGTTCAGAAATTGAAACCGTAATTACAACCACGCCTGGTGGCAGTGGTGGAGTATGGATGGCGTGCAGTAGCAATAAGAATTGTGATGCCAGAAACTGCAGGTCTATTCCAACTGGAAAGGAAGGCCAGCAATACTTGCGACCAGACTGAGAGCCGCGACACTATGCCTACGTCTGCTGGGCTGTGTCTGCTTCTTCACGTGCACTTCCATGATACATGTAGGTGTTCCTTTGCGAGAGTGTGTAGCTGTGTTTGCACCTATATATGTTCATACAGGTGTATCTATGTGTATATATATATACAAACACAAGTGTGCAGCTGGGAAGTGTTGCACCTGACAATTCATGGGAATACCATCAATGGGCCATCAACGTTCAAGTTCTTCAAACAGAACGCAATCTCGCATGCTTTCCTGAGGCGTCTAACGTGCGACTCTGAATCCTGAAGCTGCGAGCAATTGTGTCGGGGTGGCGCATCGTCCAAGGCCTTCTCAAACTCACCTCGCTTGCGCAAGGCCGCAGACCTGCATCGTTGCTCCCCAATAGCCTAAGGCTGGGCTCAGGTAGCTGTGGGGCACTCCGGTCAAGTCAATGCAGAGTGGGCCTCCAACCACAGCGCACGGCGGGTAGACTGGTAAACCAAAAGCCATATCAACATAGAGGTGGCACCCACTTCCAGTTCATGGTCTGGTGTTACAAGGCGAAAACTGGGCACTCGGGAGGCTAAAGTGGGTGATGCAAGTGGCAAGCATAGGCTGCACATGTGAATGCACGCAGACAGACAGATAGACAGACAGACAGACAGACAAACAGAGACACACACACACATGCAGATTGGGAGCCTGTGAACAAAGATCAGGATTGTCAACTTTAGATGCAATGGAAGACTTTTGATGTCAATAAGAACATTTATTATTGGACGATGTGAGAATGGACACACGAGTAAGATCCAAATCTGGTCCAACAAGGGCTGGCAGATGTTGGCAAGGAAGGTACGACAAATGTGCACGACACCTTCATCTTTACTTGACCTCTGTCAGAATTTCTTGCCTACCGGGTAGAAACGAAGCTGATCAGCATTTGAATCCCACGTCCGAAGGCCCGAGGCCAGGCGCAGTGGCTCGTGTATCGCGGGCCCCATCGGAGCATCCAAGGTTTTTTGACACTCACACTCGGACAAGCCTGGCAAGGTCTGTAGCGATACTGGTCCAACGATGAAACAACTATGAAACAAGGAGGTTCTCGACACTACCATCCAAGGTTTAGAGTTTAGGGCAAATGTCCCCCAGACCTCTTGACTCGAAATTCTGGTCTGTAAGACCCTGCAGTCTGTTTGGAACATCTGAGTTATGAGTGCTTTGTTTGTCCATGTGCAAAATGCACGGAGAAACCGGCTGTCTGCTATGTTCGAAGCCGCCCAGGAGTATATACTGAAACCTACGCCCTAAACCAATCATACTGGAGAAGCGCCTGTTGTAGTAGAGCGTAGCCACTGTTCGCGTGTCCAGGCAATCAGGATCCCCTTGGCTTTCTAAACTAGCACGAATCGGCTAAAGGTTAGAAAAGCTTTAGTCTAGGATTTTAGGTTTTGAGGCTCACTCTCACGACTCGGCTGTGCGTCGGAGTATAGTACCCCTATGCCTTAGAAACCCTTAATATATTGAGCCCTATAAGAGCCCTTACAATGACCCCAATAATATCTTGTAGGAAGCCAAAGCCCACAACGGGAAACCTGAGAGCCGGCGGATCTGGCAGCTACGAGACTCCTAGCGGGATTCGGGATTCCGAGAACGGCTTCCGTTGACTGATGTATGAGGGTTTAGGGTTTAGGGGTTTAGGGTTTAGGGGCTTAGGGGCTTTAGGGGCTTGAGGGGTTTCGACTCACACACTCGCTCAAAGCAGGCATGGCAAGATACGTCCCGAGCTTGCTACATGTTTAGGGTTTAGGGCTTCGCAAAACTCGGGTACCTGTATTTGGAAGTCTTTACAAGGATCCTGCGCTGACATCGCTGCCAGGGTCTCGTGTCTGGAAGCATGCATGTCTTGAGTTGCGAAGAAATAATGTAGACCGCAAGCCCTACATCGATCGCCTGTGCAAAGATACAAGAAGAGTCTGGGGTGTTTTTGTTTTGTGAGTGCATGTGTGTGTGTGTGTGATGCAAGAAGTATTCAGACTTGACGCAGGGCCAGGTGACACGAAGTCCTCTTTCATGTTGACCGCTTCACAGTGCACAACATCTGGGGCTAAAGACAGTCTGATCGACTTTATGCGAGGCACGGTCGATGGCTTCGGTGTAGAGAGCGATAGCCTGTCACGGCTCGGTAAAAACTAGTTGATTTGGAGTCTCAGAGAATGAGCAACCCTGGTATGTGAATCGTAGAAGGATCCCTAAAATAAGTGTTTAGAAGCACCGCTACTTAACGTATCCGAGTCGTCTGAAGCCCCAGAAGAATCCTTTACACATTCAATATACGGCAATAAGTTACGCCGCATTTCTGAAAGGCTATACAAACCCCGACAAACGACACTGCGAACTTCCGAAGTCTACGATCAGATGCCATAATCTGAAGGATACGCACTGAGGTTCCAAGGCCGAACGTGAACCTTGCAATACTGGACCTTAAATATTAATTTAAGTCTATCAGCTCAGTGCATCAGCATCCGATTTTCTGTTGCTATTACCTACTATATAATAGGGCAGTTCCGCACATGCACCCGGCCTGATCCAGGTGTCCTTCCTGAGCCAGCGGCGTTCAGGAAGTTGCTTAAGCTCTGGCTTGTCTTAGGGAATGGGGAATCATGGCATTTTCCCAGCTAGTTGAAGGTTTCTAAGCGCTGAAACCGCCTCGGGATAAAACTGTTCCCGGACCTCATGCCGCAGGCAAGGATCCCGAAAGAATACGACCAAGCTAGCACCAGCGAGAATGAATGCACCCTCAGGGGTCGTTTTGCTAGGCCTGGATTGCACGAGCCAATTCCCCTCTGAATTCGGCCGGAGTAAACAGACAAGCTGTGACAGGCACCCTCCCTCTAAAACCCAGGTATTTTTGCACGTCTGTCCTTGTAAAGCTCGTTGGCCTTGGACTTGACCTCCTCCACCTCATCCTTAAGTGGAGGAAGCTCA